TCACCTTCACCTTCACCTTCACCTCTCTGCCTCTCTCTCTCTCTCTCTCTCTCTCTCTCTCTCTCTCTTTAAACGCCATTATGACAGTCCAAGGAAATTCTATACTTTTCATTGTTTTTATTGTCAAAACAGGGAAACAAAAATGAGAAAAATAAAACGATAATTTATATTAAGACCTTCGCAATTATTAATAAATATTATCAATTTATTCATTATTTATGAACTTGTATGTTTGGATTCTCTCAATTATAAAAATGTATCATTTTCACACTTCCAGTCTCTTATGAGTTTCATAATTGGGTGGATCAATATGTGTGGGTTCATACACAAAGATATAATGTGATACTCACTAAAAATTGAGTGAATTTTAAGATTGTTTTGAAAATTAATTTTTTTAACAATTTTTTAACTTTTTATGAATGACGTGTAAAATGTAGAGAAAACAATTGATATTTTTGTAATGACTTTTTAATATTTTAATTAAAATTTTAAGTTTTCAAAATAGGCTTTAGTGTAATTAACTCAAAATAAATAAAATAGAAAAAAACAAAACCAAAACCAAATTGATTATGGCATTCTTGTAATATGTAGTCATGCGTGTTACGTTCTATAAATCCTAGTGATTCCATTAGAACATGCGATATATCTTCAACTGATGCCTTGTTTTGGAAGGAAAAAAAAAATGAAAAAGAAAAAAAGTCAAACTTTGCTCAAAATTGTTGAATAAATAGAATGAATTGCTTCCAATATATCTTCAACTGATGCCTTGTTTTGAAAAAATAAAAATAAAAATAAGAAGTCAAACTCAGCTCAAAATTGTTGAATAAATACAATGAATTGCTTCCAATATATCATCAACTGATGCCTTATTTTGAAAATAAAAATAAAAATTAAGAAGTCAGACTCGGCTCAAAATAGTTGAATAAATAGAATGAATTGCTTCTAATATATCTTCAACTGATGCCTTGTTTTGGAAAAAAAAAAATAAAAATAAAATAAGAAGTCACACTCAGCTCAAAATTGTGGAATAAATACAATGAATTGCTTCCAATATATCTTCAACTGATGCCTTGTGTTGAAAAAAAAAAAAAAAAAATTAAGAAGTCAGACTCGGCTCAAAATTGTTGAATAAATAGAATGAATTGCTTCTAATATATCTTCAACTGATGCCTTGTTTTGAAAAAAATAAAATAAAATAAGAAGTCACACTCAGCTCAAAATTATCGAATAAATACAATGAATTGCTTCCAATATATCTTCAAGTGATGCCTTGTTTTGAAAAAAAATAAATTAAGAAGTCACACTCAGCTTAAAATTGTTGAATAAATAGAATGAATTGCTTCCAATATACCTCCAACTGATGCTTGTTTTGAAAAATAAATAAATAAATAAGACGTCAAACTCAGCTCAAAATTGTTGAATAAATACAATGAATTGCTTCCAATTTGCACAGACCAACCAAGAGTACTTTAAAACTTTGAGGTAGATTTTTTTTTGGGAGAGAAGACCCGCATGTGACACTAAACAATAGAGATGACGACGCAATAAACCGGACACAACGTTTTTTTATTTTCTAAAATTTGCTTAAAATATAAATTATATTTTATATTTTGAAAAGTTACAAATATCCTCTTAACACAATTTTTTTATTTAACAATATTAATTGAAAAAATAAAATAAAATCTCTAACTGTTATTCTATACAATGATAAAATTACATGTATTACTAATTGAAATAAATTTATGATATCATTTAAAACTATTAATTAACTTAATAATTTATAAATAAAAAGAATCATTTGTTATGAAATTGAAAATTTCAAGAAAGATATAATTTTTTGAATCATAAAAGGTAAGCCATAGTTTAAACAAAACTCAAAAGATATATGTTGTAATTTACCCAAAAAATTAAGATCCAAACATCTGACACCTTGTTAGCGCCGATGTACAAAATGAAAACAATTTGAAAGCATAAAATTGAAACGATATAAAAACAATGTGTCTGTGTTTTAAGAAAACATATAAATAATAACAACGAAAACAGAAACAAACAATTTCCGTGACTTAAGTTCTATAAATCCTAGTGATTTCATTAGAACATGGAGCGTATATCCTGAACTTTGACGCACTACAAGAAAAATTATTTTTGGTGACTAAATTTTTAGTCGCTAAAAGTCCGCTTTTAGTCGCCGAAAGTCAAGTTTCTACTTTCAGCGACTAATTTTTTTAGTCGCCCCTTTTGTCGCGCATACGTGGTCGCGGCGACTAAACTTTTTTTAGTCGGCAAAAAAGAGCTCTTTAGCGACCAACTGTTTAGTCGCCATTGGTGCATTATACTTTTTAAAAGCACACATTTAGCGACTAATATTTTAGTCGCCAATAGTCCACTAATCGCCGACTAAACTATTTTGTCGCCCAAAATAACACTTTTGGCGACTAAAAGTTTAATCGCCAAAGGTTCTTCCGTAAAAAAAAAAAAAAAAAAATTCTTTGGTTTTTCTGAGATTCAAACCGCGAACCATTCCAACTGCCAACACCTTTACCAACATACTCCCTCCCCTCCACTATGCCACTTGAACATCACATGACTATATATGCAATATATATTATTTATATACTATTTTGACCGGTATTCATACAAAACCATATATGTAAATATAATTATTTTTATTGAATATAATTTATGTAAAAAATAAATTATTTATTAAAAAAAAATGTAGGCCACTTTTGGCGACTAAATCAATTATTTAGTCGCCAATTCTATGATTTTTGGGCTACTAATTAATTTGTTGTCGCTAAAAAAATATGTTTAAATTAAAAATAGCACTTTTGGCGACTAAATCTGTTTTTAGTCTCCAAAAACGTCCCGTTTTGGCTACTAAATTGAAATTTAGTCGCCAATTCACTGTTTTTAGCTACTAATTTTTTTTTTGTAGCCAAAAACCTTCATTTTCAGCGACTAATCTTTTTTTAGTCGGCAAAAGACCTATAATCGGCGAGTCACCAAAACCATCACTTTTGGCTACTAAATTATTTTAGTCGCCAAAAACCGTCGCTTTTGGCTAAAAATTGTTGAATTTTAGTAGGATGAATTGCTTTCCATTTGCAAAGAGCAACCAAGTGTGTAACTTTGAGGTAGTTTTTTTTTTTTTTTTTTTTTTTTTTTTTTTTTTTTTTTTCTAGAACATCAAGCTATTTAACATATAAATCAAACACATAATTCAAATATTGAATGTACATAGAAATGAGCCTCACCAAAATCACTGTGAGCTACCGTTTGTCCATTTGAAATTTTTTTTTTGTTTGTTTTCATATTTGATTTATATGTTAGTAATAATTTTTTCTACAAAAGATAACTAAAAGCGGTGCTATTGTGAATTATTATTATTTTGGTGTGGTTTGCAAATTGTTTGCCTCTATAACAAGAGGAATAATGTTACAATGACCATTTGTAATATTAGAAATACTAATTAATATACCAACTAACATTAATTAACACACAAGACATATATATGGGTTTGTATTACAAAAGAAGTGTTCTGACCATGGAAGTGGAGATGGGTGTTTAACGGTCATGGGTGTTTATCAGTCTTGGTAGGCGCGACCGGTGGAGAGGTAGGTGTGGGAGTCTTTGGTCAATAGGTGAATAAAGCTATGAAAAAGTATAAAAATGTTGATCAGAAATGAAAAGTGTTTTTGCTTTCGGTAATATTAATGCACTGGTTAATTTACTAATTAGTATATCAATTAGTATTATCATATTATTACTGACTCTATTTATTATATAAATTATTATTATTCAAAACCTCTAAAATGATATCACATTATTTATTAATACATTAATCAATATACTAATCGATACATAATTATTCTTTGCTTTTGGTGGAAACGAGGTGTGGAGCATACGTGTCTTTGTATTGGGTTTTGTGAGGATAATTTTGTGGGCTTTCTTGTATTTTACTTACCAACAATGATAGAGACCACTAATTTTGGAACTCTAAAAAGACCACTAATGACATGGCACTCAATAAAAAAAGAAAAAAAATACAACACCAAGACCAAAATATCAAATCATTCATGGTGGGACCTACTGCCACATCATTAGTGAGAGCACTAATTAGTGCTCCCACTCATTTTCCTTTACTTACTAAGTTAAGTAAAAATGCTAAAGATTTTAAAAATTCTATCAAAAGTTTTACCAAATGTCTCACATGGGTGTGAGACTCACATTGTGTGGATTCCATACCTATGCGAGACATTTGATAAACCTTTTGGTAGAATATTTGGAATCTCTAACATTACTCTAAGTTAAGTTTTTCTTAACCTTTGTTATTATTATTATTATTTTTGTTTAAAAAAAAAATTCGTGAGGTTGAAGGGTTGATTGTATAGGTGCAAGTAACAGTAGTAGTACGGCAATTTGTACTTTTCGAATCTCTCTTAATATACGTTATCTTCCTGTACATTTAATTTAATGTTGTTAATAAAATTTTTCTTTCTTGATAAAAAAAAGAAAAAAAGATATATATATGAGTTCCACCATTTAATATAGTCCTAGTTAATATTATATCTAATTAATATATTAGTTACTATTCCTGCTCCTCCAATCACCACCCGCCACGTGGCAAAAGGGAGGTGAGGGGGTGACCCCCAAAAGGGGGCCCTAAGCATTATTCTTAATATATTAGTTACTATTCTAATAGTGTTCCTATCGTTATTGTATTTAAAATGTGAACAAAACATAAGGTCATTATAATATTATTCTAATGAGAGAGCCAAAAGATATCAAAAGAAGATGCGGAAACAAAAAAAAATTATAATTCGAATTCAATTACAAAATCAAAAACAATTGCCTCATGGGTTTTTAATTGTGTTTGATTTTATTATTTAATCTTGTGCATGTAATGAAATCTTTTGTGTTATGCTAACATTTTTGCATCTATATGGTTGTTAGAAAGCAGAGATCGATCAAGATTCAACAGTAACTCAACATGAACATACCTCGAGAAAGTCTCTGTAAAGAAAATCAGGCAACCACGGCAACTTGTGATTCCCAATCGAGAAAAGCAACTTCACACCCTCCACCGTCTCCGGTAACAGAAGCTCCGACCAGCTCGAAAAGCCAAGCCTATCCAAACACTCACCTGTAATCGACTCCGTCAATTCAATGACAGTACTTGACACCACCATAGCGTCCACCAAGTCCGGGTACAACTTGGCCATCTTGAACCCAACCATGCCACCGTAGCTCAGCCCCACTAGCGTGCACTTGTCAACCCCCACCTTCCTCAACCCCTTTGCTAAGCACTCCGCCTGAAACGTCGCTGACCGATTGGCGGTGTTGGTGGTGGAGCCACCGAAGAAGAGGAAGTCCGGCACGTAGACTGAGTACTTGCTTGTCAAAGATAGGGCTTGGAAGAACCACATTAGAATTCCATCGGCAGAGAATGGATGAGCGAGTACTACTACGGGCCTGTTTGGTTTGTTCCATTTTTGGGTCTGGTTTTTTGGCTGGGTGTTTGTGTTGTTGTTGTTGATGATGATGGTTTGTTTTGGGACCCATATGGTCATTACAGTACCTGCCTCCAGCTCGACCCTTTGGGAGGTTAGCCCGGCTATGTTTATCAGGCCATGCAACAATGGCTTTAGGGTTGCAATCACGTTCACCATGCTTGATGAAGAAAGAGACTCTTGTTGTATTATATGTATATATTGGTATAATAATTCAACGGTGAGACTATATATATATATTGGTTTAACAATACTTGTAGGAATTGAAAACTTGTTTATTAATGGGAATGAAATGGAATTGCAGGTGTCATTCTTTGATTATTTTTACTAGGCTTGACCAAAATGAGATTGTCTGTGATCTGGTGTTGGGGCCCATGTGAGCTGGTTGCCATTGACCTTTGATTTTAAAATAAGATAATTACATACAAATTTATTTTTTACATATATTTTTTAAATTTAATAATATGCAAGTAATATGATTAGTTAATAATTAGAGAAGATAGGAAAGAGAATATTATTTTTAATATCCTAATTAATTGTCACATTATTAGACTTAAAAATTAGGCTTAATTTTTTTTTGTCTTGAATAGTAATGCTCTTAAAATAAATAACAAACTTATCATAATTATCATTTTATTTTTCATTTTAAAAGATTTGTTTGAGAATTGAAAAATTAGTTTTAAAAAAAGAATAAATTACACTTACACCTTTGAGGTTTAGGTTTAATACATATCACCTCCTGACGTTTGGAAAATTACACTAACCCCCTGTCATTGTAATTATTTAGATGGAATGAACACATTGAACTCATGCACTATTTCTTTTTTTGCTTTGCTTTACTCTCTCTTTTTTCCCCCCTTTCCTTTACTTTTTTTTTTTAATGTATTTTCTTCTGTTTTTCTGCTAGGAGTTATTATCTTTTATATAAGCAGAGGGATTTGTGAAATGAGACTATTAACCACAGGGGTGAGAATGCAAATGTAATTTTCAAAACGTCATGGGGTGGGTAGTAATTAGACCAAACCTCAAGGGGTGTCAATGTAATTTACCCTAAAAAAATCACTAAAAAGGTCAAAAAAAATTAAAAAAAATATTTCAAAATATTTTATTTTTTTACTTAATATTTTAATTAAAAAATCACTAAAAAATTTATTTTCCAAACCAACCGTATGTCTAGTAATGATACACATATGAATGAAAAAAAAAATTAAAAAAAAAACTGATGTGCTAGAACAAGGGTAGGATGGTACCAAGGATGAGTTGGGCCAAGCACAATCATAAAGAGTTAATTATCAGCTAGTCTATTAAGTTCTATTATTAACTTTTTGAATATATCAATAGATCATATAATACCTATATTGCCCTCATCAAACTTATTCCATCATTAAATTTTCCTTTTTTTGTATTATTTATTATCTTATTTCTCTTTCTTCCATCATTAAATTTTCCTTTTTTTGTATTATTTATTATCTTATTTCTCTTTCTCCCATTTCTCTAGAAATTTTCCATCTTTTTTTTTCTCTCTCTCTCTCTCTCTCTCTCTTATTTTTCTAGAGAGTCTCACCACACCACCATCATCCACCACCACTGTCGTCATGTCGTCCACTCACCAGGCCACCGTTATCGTTTGGCCGCCACCGCCACCACCGTTCACTAATCATCTTAATTGTTGTTGATCTATACTCACCGTCGTTAATCTACACACCACCACCTTCCTCTATCACCTCCAAAGCTGCACACTTCTCACTATCGTCTTCATCCTTTGTTGTTAGCACTTGTGACTTTTAGATCTAGCCATTTTCAACTCAGATCTTCACCGGTGATTTCAGATCTGGCCTTTTTTGAATGCCAATTTGATCATGACATGATTGTCGAAGCTCTTACCAATGAGATCGGGTCTCTCTCTCTCTCTCTCTCTCTATATATATATATATTAATATATGTGTGTGTATGTACATATAGATGGATCTCCATCAATCTATTTGTAAAGATCTAGTTAAACAAGATATGTTATTTGTAAAATTTACATATTAATGAATAAATTTATCAGTCTTACTTTTGTATGTATGTGTGTATATTTAAGTGTATTGATATGTTTTTGTGAATAAATAAGCGAGTATGTATGTATGTAAGTGTGAATGTTAGAGTGAGAGGTAGTAATTAATAAAGTGGTCCGGAAAAAAAATTGATGAGTGTTCTTATCACCACCAGATTTGAAGAAATAGTGTGTGTATGACGTATTGGAAAATGACATTGTTTTGCCTAAAAATGGTCAGATAATTATGAAAAATCATTGCTGGAGGTCGGAGACGACGGTTAAAGATTTGCCGACGGCCAGAGATAGTGGCTGGAAATGGTCGCTGGTGATTGAAGCCGGTAGCTGGACATGGTTGCTGGAGAAGGGGTGAACTCATTGTAGTATTAATAATTGATGAAGAATGAGAAGGGATTTTGGGTATATTAATAGGTACAAAAGGAGCATACTTATACGTGAATAAGTCTAGTCAATAAGAACAGTCCGCAAGTGGACATTTATAAACACATGATTAATCATGAAGATAACTATATATTCCAAAGCTACATAGTAGATTAGTCTAAGCCAACTCATTTTGGACCATGCTCTCACAGTAACAGCAATTTTGACAGGAGAACCTGATTTAAGATTTCCTAGGGCAGAGCATCTATGTGTATTAGATACATATAGAGCACTTGTGAAGAAGTATAAATCACTAAAAGCCCCTGTGGGGGCCGAATACATGAAAAAATCAGATGGTGCGTACCATTGGAAGACTGATATTAATCGGCTATATCCTACGAGAGTGGGGAGCTGAATATAATATATGTGCCAAATAAGTGTAAGTCCTTAGGGCCGAGTAAAAGAAAGGACAATGATTAAAAAGTAGGCCCTGGCCCCAAGGATCAAAAAGAACAGGTATAAACACAGGAACAACGATTATAGAAAGGTATGTAAAAATCACTTCACAAAACTTAGAAAAGAAGCTATCCTAAGTGTCTAAACTAACTTGTCCGTCGGAGTGCTAATTCCGGCACCCCCCGACCGGAGTTTTTGTATCTTTTCAGGTGACTAGCTGGGGATCACTAGCGTCTCCCAGGATCCGAAGAGTATTTCCAAACCACTTCTCCACAATTGGCGCCGTTTGTGGGAATACTCAAATACATCCATGGAAGGCGTGACTGAAGATCCTCTGGCAGCCATTGATGAGACCGCACAGGAAGATGACCTCACCCTAGCAAATATGCTCGGAAAAGAAACCATCGCTGCAAGACACGCCTTGAACTTTGACTCACCAACGACCTCAGCGCACGAGACAATGCAGGTGATCATCGAACAAGCAAAGCAGAATGAACAAAGGCTGGAGAACATGATCGCTGAAAATGAACGTCTCCGTCAAGATTTGGCCCTCGAAGTCGCAAAATCGAGAGAAGCCATGAGCCAAGATCCCGAACGACCCCCGAGGGCCGGTGGACAACGACCTCGAGCCCGACCAGAGGATACCGATAGCGACTCCAACTCATTAACCACGGAGCTCAACAAAAAGGGACGATCCGAAACTCCCAGCTCCTCCGAAAAGAGTCTACATACAAGGAACAAGCGCAGGAGGAGCAGTTCTGACGAAGAGGACTAGCACGATCCTTTTGTCCGACGGATTGCAAGGGCGACCCTATTCAAGAAGTTCAAAGCTTCGTCATTCACTCTCTACGATGGAAAATCAGACCCCACTGATCATATCCTTCACTACAAGCAGGCCATGACATTGCATGCAGACAACGAAGCCCTCATGTGCCGAATATTTCCCAGCAGCCTCGGGCCATTAGCTGTCAGGTGGTATTACAAGTTGGAGCCGGCCTCGATCAAAAGCTTCCATCAATTACAGAAATCCTTCAGCGCCAGGTTCATCACCAACGAGATGCAACCGAAACAGGCCGACTCTCTCTGGGCTCTGCAGATTCAGTCAGGAGAAACGCTCAAAGCGTTTTCGGCGCGCTATTGGGAGTGCTTCAACCTCGTCAATGACGCTTGCAATGACTCTATGGCCATCACCGCCTTCAAAATGGGACTACATCCTGACAATCCTCTTCGCAGTTCCCTGACTAGAAGACCCCCCAAAAGAGTCTGGGCGTTGATGAAGAAAGTTGAAGAATATTGCAAAGTGAAAGATGATGCCTTGAGAATAAAAGTCGGCCAAATGTCCAACAAAATGGCCCCCCCTGAAATTGCTCAACCAATAAGTTCCGCGCCACCTCCTAGCCCAGAGCCTCGGCAATGCGCTAAACGAGACAAAAGGCAGGATAATCGCCGATCAAGCGATCAATGCTCCCACCGGACGAATGAACAACTGCAAGTCGACAGCAGACGTTCGAGGCGTGCTGACAAGAAGCACACAGAGTTATCAAAACCAATCGCTACAATAATGACCAAAGTCCAACACCTTCCATTCTTCAAATGGCCGTCAAAGATGGTGGGGCCGCCCGATACGCAAAGGAGGGATAGGCGGTGCGAATATCACAAAGATCACGGCCACGAAACGAAAAGTTGTTACGCATTAAAAGATCACCAGGAAGAACTGGTGCAAGACAGTCGACTGCAACAATATGTGAGAAAGGAAAAGCCAACCCAGGCACTGGCCTTGAGGCAGGACTCACCTCCACTTGGCGTGATCCATATGATCTACAGCCTACCTGCACCCCCAACCGTGCACACAATTCAGTCGTATCCAATCCCCCAAAAGCAACATATTCCGACTGAATGGCCCAAAGAAGCTCCGACAATTACTTACAATGACTCCGATCTTAGCGGCACAACAGCTTCCCACATCGATCCGTTAGTCATTAAATTACGCATAAATCGGTTCACCATTGAACGCATTCTCATAGACCCAGGGAGTACTTCAGAGGTTATGTATTACCAAACTTTCATCAAACTTGGCCTCAACGAGTCAGATCTGTCTCCGGCGCCTCACCCATTGTTCGGCTTTAATATGAATCCTGAATACCCGTTAGGGAAGATCATACTACCTGTTCGAGCGGGCTCTAGAACGGTCGAAGTAGAATTCCTGGTCGTAAAGCTCCCTTCGCCCTATAATGTCATCATGGAGTAAACCTGGATACATATTATGAAGGCCGTTCCAAGCACTTATCATCAGCTTGTGCGATTCC